CGCGCGCGCTCATTGCCCAGGGCTCGGCCGCCCTGGGCCGCGGCGAGTCTCTGGCGAGCACAGAGGCGCTCGTCCAGGCCTTGCTGGCCGACGCACTCCCGCGCGTCCACGCGCTTCTTTCTGGCTGGTAGAGCGCTCAAACTCGCATTTATTCCATCTGCATGACGCCGCTCTCGTCACCACCGGCGGCACCGGCACTGCTGGCGCCGCCAAAGGCGGAGCCGCCGCCAAAGCCGCCAAACGTAGCGAGCTGCTGGCTTTGCTCGCCGCGGACGACAAACTTGACGTGCAGATAGTCACCAAACGGCTGGCCATTCGGCAGATACATGCGCCAGGCGGCGGTGTAGACGCCCGGCTCGGCCGGAGCCTCAAACTGGAGCGAAAAGTCAACATCGGCGCCGGCCGGCACCTCGCCGGGCAGTTCGATCGGCTGCGCGCCGTGCGGGTCGCCGGTGTGGAGTGAGACGTAGCAGCCCGTCGGCCACGCCCGTGTCCCTGTGTTGGCCAGCTTCCATGACTTGCTGAACACCTCGCCGCCCTCGACGGTCTGCGTCTGGTCGTGGTCGGTCGCCATGGCCGCCAGATGGTACTCGATGACCACCGGCGCCGCCTGCTGGTTGGCAAAGAACGACGAGACTGCCAGGTCGACGTTCCACGAGTTGGCCTCGAGGTAGAATAGGGCCTGCTCCTCATCAAATCCACACACTGACTGGAACGTCCGCATCTTCTCCTCCTTGTTGTCAGACACCGAGCCCATTCCGAGCATAAAGCCCACCAGCTCATCGGCCGGATCCACCTCGCCGCCGTTGCCGCCGTTCCCGCCGTTGCCACCGGACGACCCTGTATCAAAGCTAAAGGGGAAGTTCATGGTGGACATGTATCCGCAAACTTGCTCTTCTGCTCTGAACACACCGTATCTACTGCGTCTACTGTCTCTGCTGCTGCTGCTGCTTCCCTCTGCTCCCATTGCCGCGCCCGGTGAGTCCTTCCCCCCCTTCTCCTCCCCCTGTGCCTTTCGCGCCTCTCGAACACGACCTTTCCCGGCCCCGCCGTCCTCCCCTTCGCATTGCTCGGCCATCCCGCGCGCCTACATCACCGCGTGCACAAACCAACACCCACCACCCACAAGGTAGCAGATATAATACACCTTTGCCCTCGAGGAAGAACCGAGAGCCTGTGTAACCCCGCTAACAGCCGTTCTTCCAAGGCCCTGCCCGTGGAAGGTCGGCCGCCAAGCCGTGCGCCCCAGTCGCCAGCACCACGCCAATCACACTCTCATCCCCGACCCTTCCGACTACGCTTTCCACCCACACCATCAACCTCCAATCCCCCCTTCTACCTCACTCCCATCCCAACCCATTCCATACCTTCTCAGATCGAGCACCAGACAAGTATTACCCGCAGACCCAGACCCTGACCCTGCCCCCCCGGCTCTTGCCGTGTCACCCAAGTCGCATTGGTCGCGCCTCTGGCCACCAGCCGTCACCCGACCGACCGACCGATCGACCGACCGACGCGACAGTCGCCTCTCGTCACGTGTCCATCCCACCGAGTCGGCCGCAAGCTCTCCGGGCACCCCCCCCCCCCCCCACCTCCCTCTCTCTCGACCCGTTGCTTTGAATCCAGCTACGCCACACCTCACTTGACCCGCCCACCACCCATCATGGCAAACACATCGGTGAAAGGGCGGCCAAGTCAACAGAAGGGCGTAGTGAGCAGGCTGATCGGGGCTCCTGTCCTCGCCCTGCTGCTCGTTCTCGCATCGACGGCGCAGACGGTGGGCTTCAAGCTCTTGGGCTACGCCTTTGGCCCCTTTCCCTTTGTCATTCTCATCACCATGTCGGCTGCCTTTGTGCCACTCTTTGGCGTACCGTATGCCATCGCTCGCTGGCGCGGGGTCATCCCTGCCGAGACCCGCACCTTCCCGCTCCGGCCGTACTGGGTCATCGGCGGCCTTAACGCCGCCAACGGCATCCTGCTTATCTTTGCCAATCCGCACGTGCCGGGTGTTGTGCAGGCAGTGCTGGCTCAGGCTGGTGTGCCCATGGTCTTCTTTCTCTCGCTCTGGCTCCTCCGCACCAAGTATGCGCCCGGTCAGTACGCATCGGCAGTCGTCATTGTCGCCGGCATCATCGTCAGCCTCGTGCCGTCGCTCAAGGCTGATGGCGGCGACGACTCGGTGCCCGGCTCGGCTTCTTCGCGGCTGATGTGGTCGTTGGCATTTCTCCTCGGTGCGCTCCCGGCCTCGCTCGCCTCGATCTATCAAGAGCGCATGTTTGCCCACGCTCGTGTCCACCTTCTCGCACTCATGTTCCACTCCTCGGTGGCGCAGTTTGTCTCGCTCGCCTTTGCTCTTCCGCTGGTCTTTATTCCTTCGTTTGGTACGGTGTCCCCGGCAGCCTTTGGCCCGCACATGGCGGCCGCCTTTGGCTGCCTCATCGGCAACGATCCGCCGGCGCAACTCGGCTACAACGACCAGGTCCAGTGCTCTAAAGCCGGCATTCTCATCCTGGCCGTCGTCGGCTTTATGCTTACTGCCAACTTTGCGTCGGCGGCGACGACCAAGTATGCCTCGGCTTCATTTATGATCTTTGTCTCGACCGTCGTCACGCCCGTCTCCTCGTTCGCCTTTACCTTTTCGTTCATCATGGGCTCGCACGCTGAGTCTCTCTCGATCTTCGCCTACATCGCGCTCGTCCTCCTTGTCGCCGGCATCTTTGGCTTTCGCTACTTTGACGTGCCGCAATACGAGGAGACTGAGCTCGAGCCGCTGGTTGTCAACCAGGCCGGCTCGCCGGCCCGCCGCGGCCGCTCGGCCTCGCCTGGTTCCTATCCGGGCGACGGCTCGCGCATCCCGCTCTCGCGCCCGATGTACATTCCGCGCGCTGGCATCATCACCCTCAACACGGCTGATCCCACTGCTCGGGACGCCACCACCCTGCCGGTCGTCATTCCTGCCGCCCGCCCACACTCGTACACCTCCCACACCGCTGCCCGCGCCGGCTTTTCGCTTCTCCGCGGCAACCTTGGTGCCTACGATGGTGTGGCCGCCTCGATGTGACGATGATCCCCCCTCCCCCCCCCACCCTTCAACTGTGATCTCTTCATCACATTGCCCACATTAAGCCACCCCCCCCCTCCGATCGCCAACCCTTCCGATCGCCAACCCCTTTCCTCCCGCCCGCGCACACAGCTCCAGTCACCCCCCCACTCCACCCCCCCCCCCCCACCCCAACC